AACTGTAAGTGTCCTAAACGGTTAGCAGCAGCATCAGTTAGAAATATTATCCAGCACCTTGTAGATATATTAGAATTAGAGGGAAGAGGAAGAACTTACGATGAATATTGTGGGGTTGGAAACCCAGCTGCATCAGTTCAAATTAAAGCTTATTTGAAATGTGTTCAAGAAGAGCAAGCAAAAGCACATATTCTCCCAAAGCAGGCAAAACCATTCTTTTTAACAAAACTTGAATCAATATCAAAGTATATATGTAGAGAATTAAGGAGGTCTGACTTAAAATCAAAGGAAAGGTTTGTCTTGACAAGAGATCAAGCGCTATTTAAATTACAGTTTTTTGCTGGTGACAGGGCTAGTGACATAGCAATTACTTTATTGCAAGAAGTGAAATATTTAAGAAAAAAAGATGGGTTTGCATTGAATCATACATTTGGAAAAACTCTTAGGGGAAATGGAAAAACGAATACATTTGTATTAAAATGCTGCCCAAATGAAATCATTTGTCCGGTTAGAGGATTGGAGATATATTTTGAAGAGGCAAAAAGATTAGGGATAGATATGTCTTCAGGGTATCTTTTTAGAATGGTGACCGAGTCAGGAAGGGTTATTAATGATCCAATGTCTTACTCCTCTATATATGAAAGACTAAAAAGTTATTTGATTACTCTAGGGATCTATGAGGGTGAGACACCACATAGTTTAAGAGCAGGTTGTGCTGTGCATATGTGTTTTTCTAATGCGGCACATAATGTTAATGATCTTATGAACCATGTTGGATGGGCTACAGAAAGCTCTGCAAAATATTACAGTAGATATGAAACTTTGTTAGATGCATCACATACTGCTACAAGGTTAGCACAGTCTAGTGAGAGAGGAAAAGAAATTGAAAATATGTTTAAAGAAAATGCAAATTTTGATGACTTGACATCTATTGGTGATCTTTAGCGCATTTTTTGTTTTTTGTGTAGTGTGTGTGAAATGTGAGGTTACATATTGTAAACAAAAGTAAATTTGAATCCTAAAATAAAATTAGATATTCAATCAATATGTTTGTTTCTGATTTTTGTTTTCACATGTATTTCATACATGTGTTGAGTATTGGGAAGAGTGTTATATAAAAAATGTATAAGGAGAAAGATTCAGAATCAAGGTCTAATATGTAAAATGGAGCATGAATTGATTATTCACTTACTAATTTATACCCAGTACTTATTCAAGTGATTACAGAATATTGGAGATAGATTCAGTGAGGATGTGGTAACATCCTCAGTGACCCCTAGCGGAGAGATTCTGTAATTTGATCATTGCCTTTAGAGATATGGAAGTTAAATATGTTGTGGCAAGAGATTCATCTAGTATACATGATATATATTGAGTTAAAGCTAACTGAGATGATCAAATTTCCCTCCCACCCAACCCAATAAGTTATGTAATAAGTTTACTACATTCTGTATTCACTTACTAATTTATACCCAGTACTTATTCAAGTGATTACAGAATATTGGAGATAGATTCAGTGAGGATGTGGTAACATCCAACTTAGTAAGAGAGCACTTCCACCAGAAGAGACCACTAAAGTTGGAGAATGCTTCTTTATGTAAGATGGCATCCTTATGCGAAGATGGCGACCCCCTGACGCTTCCGAAGATGATGTGTGGCGTGTTGTTCACCAGATAGTGGTCCCAGCTGCTTATCGTCAAGATGTAATGTGTTTAGCTCATGATCCATGTACACCTATGGCATAGGTGTCATAAGACTTATAATAGGATTTTAAGTCATTTTTATTTACCTAAGCTAAGAAAGGATGTTTCGAAGTTTTGTACGTCATGTTATGTTTATCAGTTGGTAGGTAAACCGAATCAGAAGATACCATCCGCCCCTCTCCAGCCAATTCCAGCTTTTGAAGAACCGTTTAGTCCAGTGTTGTGGACTGTGTAGGACCTTTGCCTAGGACTAGATCTGGAAACTAGTATTTACTTACCATTATGTGTACATCCACTCGATTTCCGGAAGCCATACGTCCTATAGGAATATTAAGGCAAAGAGCATACTTAAGGCCCTAACTACCTAACTAATTTTTTCAGTTTTGTAGGAGCACCTAAGGCAATTCAGTCGGATCAAGGCTCAAATTTTATGTCTGGATTATTGCAGCAAGTCATGCACGAGTTGGGTATTAACTGCATATCATCCTGAGACCCAGGGGGCGATAGACGTTTTCATCAAGCCCTAAAACGTTCCTGAAGACCTGTTGTTACCCAAATGAGAAAGACTGGCATGAAGGGGTTCATCTTGTTCTATTTGCTGCACGAGAGGCAGTCCAGGAGTCTCTTTGGTTTAGTCCTTTTGAATTGGTGTTCGGTCATACAGTTAGAGGTCCTTTGAAATTGTTAAAGGAAAAGTGGCTGACTGAGACTAGTAATCTTTATCTTTTAGATTACTAGCTGAAATCCCGTGCAAGCGCGGGGAGACTTTTTTTTACTGCTAACCGTAGCAGAACTATTCCAAAAACTATCTTTTAGATTCTATTGACAATTTATTACTCAGGAACTTCATGACGAAATACTTCAAAGTCCCGCAATTTGTGCAGGAACAGAAATAGATAATTATAAGAAATGAATTTCTAATATTTTGGGATTATTTTTTTTAATTCTACAAATATCAATTTCATTCAAGGACGTCTCCATATGAGTGAGAAATTCTCGAGAGGGACGTCAAACAATATACAATCAATCAACAATCATTAAAGGCCTCTTCTCCTTACATGTTAAATAGGAACTTTATTCTGTTGTACTATGTTATACATCATGTACTAAATGCAGGTGCTCGTTGGCATTTTCTCTTTACATGTTAGAATCTTTACTTTAATATATTTTGAGCTTTATCATTGCTTTTTATAGTTACATCACGGATAAGACATTTAACTATAAATTCGTCAACATTTTAAAATATTGAAAAAACTTAGTGTTCATCCCCAATATACATAAAGGCCTAAAAGGTATAAATAAGTTTGAAACATAAAAGACTGTATGTAGAAAATCATTTAAGTAAATTATTTAAAAATTATTGAAATTGTACCATGTTATATACATCTAAACAAATGACCATGACCATTATTCGACATTTATTTATAAACAATTAGCACAGCTTACTAATATATATTCTCAAACTCATTGTATACCAATTTCTTTACATTTTATATATTTCCAAGTCCATTCATGATAAACAATCGCCTCGATTTTCTTTAGACGTCGGATTCGATGCCAGCTGACTTTCTAGACATTTCAACAAATAGCGAGATCTGACATATACGGAAAGGATTTAATTCATGAATGAAGTTTTTTGAAATGAATAAGTGCTTAAATTGCTTGTTATCAGTTTTATTTTAAAATGCCAGTTGCTTAGATCTGCCACCACTTTACTCTCTTCAGTGCTATTTCGAGGCTGGTATTCGAAAATGAAAGTAGACTTTTAATTAAATTACGATAATAACCATGCGCGTGAAATCTGAATATAGTTTGCGGACATCACCTTATACCTAGTGTGTTCCTACAGGCTTAAGTAAGAACTTGTGCAGCCGTTTCAGTGTTTATTTGCAAAATTTGTTAATTCATAAGTATCTATAGGATGTGTCTTATTCAAAAAAAAAACTTTAAAATGCTTGTAAATTAGCACAAGAAAATTTGAAGAGATCTCAGATGAAAATGAAAATGTGGTATGACAAAAATGCCAGAAATAGGGTTTTTATGCCAGGTGATAAAGTTCTTGTTTTTTGCGTATTCCTGGTCATCCTTTACTGGCCAGATTATACGGCCCTTATGAAATTGAAAGCAAGATTAGTGATGTAAACTATTTAAGACACCAGGTATACGTAAGAGAAACGGGTTTGTCACATAAACATGTTGAAAGAGTATTTTGAAAGGTGTGACCAAAATTCTGTAAAACCAGTCTCAACTTTAGCCAATGCTAAGACTGTTCAAAATTGTATTGAAAGTGTAGAAATGAATGAGAAAGATTGTAATCAGAGTGTCCGTTTGAAAAACTCGATGCCAAACTTGGACATTTGAACATTCACCAAAAAGAACACGTTAAAAACTTTTTGAATGAGTATCATCAAATCTTTTTGGATGTTCCAAAGAAAACTTATGCAGCTTGTCATGATTCATAGTGGGCGACGCTCTGTCTATCAAACAACATCCTTACCGTCTAAATCCAATAAAATTGCAGAACCTAAGAAGGGAAGTGAAGTGCATTAGATGTTGGACAATGACATTATTGAACCTAGTAAAAGTAATTGGAGCTCAACATGTTTTTTTGTACCAAAACAGGATGGTACCTACCGATTATGTACAGACTTTAGAAAGGTGAATTCTGTTACAAAAAAACTGATTCATATCCAATACCTGGAATCGATGACGTATTGACAACATTGGAAACGCCAAATCTGTCAGTAAATTTGACCTGTTGAAAGGCTAATGGCAACAGAGAGAGCAAAAGAAATAACTGGTTTTGCTACACAAGATAGACTTCACCAGTATAAATTAAGTAGTGCCTTTTGGCATGAAAAACGCACCGGCTACATTCCAAAGGATGATTCACTCCCTTCTCCGAGACCTCGAGGCATGCGATGCCTACGTTGATGATTTCATCATATACAGGAAGATATGGGACGAACATCTCCAAATCTTGGGTGCTTTATTTGACATTTTAGCTGTCCATGGACATTATCACGGGATCAAGATCCAGGGTATCAGCACGTAGTTCATTAAATCAGAGATTTTATAGACATTTAAGTGAGATATTCACACAGAAAATAAACTTTTAACATTTGAACATGAAGGTGTATTACCTTAATTGAGTGTTGACAAGACAAAAATTCCGAAGACAGACTGAAACATATAGCATTTAAAGCTTGAATAAAAGATGTTGGGGAATATTACTTAACTCTTACAAGTGCTAATTTCAAAAGCTAATTTAAAGGGTTCGATGAAATTGGACAAGATTTTTTTCAGTTATGTTCTATAGTGTGGTGAGGGATGTTGAAGTGGAAGTGCCAATTGATAATGACAGCGATTCGGGAGTGGCTTTAGGTTGAAAGGGGTTTGGAACACGGTCAAATATGAGGAAAACATTTGGAAACTCTTAAGTCTAGTTTGTTTTAACTATTTCCACAAAAAATAAATCTTTGTTAGTATTTTTTTGTCCCCCGCTTGAAAAGTGGGGGATATTAATTTGGGTTTGTCCGTCCGTCTTTCTGTCTGTCTGTAACGCTTTCGTTTCCACACGATATCTCGAGAACCCTTTGAGCTTTTGCAATGAAATTTGGCATAGCAACTCCCTATGGACTAAAGAAGAACCCTATTGATTTTGAGGTCAAAAGGTCAAGGTCATAAATAAGCAAATTGTGTCTGTTATAACACTTTCGTTTCCACACGATATCTCTAGAACTATTTGAGCTATTGCAATGAAATTTTACATAACAACTCCCTGTGGCCTTAGGAAGACCCCTATTGATTTTGAGGTCAAAAGGTCAAAGTTCAAGGTAGTAAATATATACATTGTGTCTGTGTGTAACACTATCATTTCCGGGCGATATTTCAAGAAGATTTTGAGCTTGTACAATGTAATTTTATACCAAAACTCCCTAGGACCTCTCTCACCCCTTTCAAAGTGACCCGCCCCGTTTGTTTGATTAGTATTTATAGTATTACATGTCGCTATTTTTAGCACAGGGGCATGAGGAGAGTTATTGCGTATAAAACAGGTTTTGTTCTTATTACATCTATTAGAACTGTTTGATAAAGGCTAAATAAATCAAACACCATGGATTGTGTAAAATTTTGACAATACCGAATATCTACATGTATGTGACTTCAGCTCTGCATATACTTGACTTCATTTAAAGCGACTCCGTGGTCTAGTGGTATGTCTCCCGCTTCATGTGTGAGACGATCCTTTTTTTTTCTTTTTAACTTTTCTTTCTTCTTTTAAATGATAGTATTCAGTAAAAAGAA